TAGTTGAGCAAGGATGCTAGGAGTCTAAAACTTAGTCCAAAATCGCATAGTGATCCCTAAACGCTGCATAGAGACAATATGCTTTAAACATGCCTAAAGCCGTGGCCTCTGGACTAAGACTCCTAGAGTCTGATACTGGCTTCACCATTGGCTTGGACAGACTACTCAACCTCTGTGTGCTCATCTGTTAAGTGGAAAATATTATGTATTTTCGAGGTAGTTATGAGTATTCAATAAATTCATATTGGAGGACTTCTGTTGTCAGGTTTGGTTACAGTTTGCCCCTTAGGATGTACAAAAAGCCACTGCCCGTCCCTACTATCTATTGATCAGCCTCTTTGCCAGAATTCCTAGCCTTCCCTGTCTCTCTGCTGGCACCTGTGGGAGGGTGTGTCCTCCCACTCTGTTGAAGTCATCCCATGGTAACCACTCTGCCACACTGCCGCCCTAGTTCTTCCATGTTGGAGGGACCCAGCGATCTCTGTGGAAGCCCAACTTTAAGACTCAATAATAATAGGAGAAAGAGTAAGTAGTCGTAGTAGCAGTAGCCACAAATTTTAATTCACAGCCTCTGCTATTTTAAATTAATTTTGAATTAATAACAAATTATAAGCATTTGGTATATTTAAACAGTGTAAATAAAAAACAAATGTTATTCTAGGTACTCCCATTCCTCTCCCCAGATACAACCACAGCTTTCAGTCAATCCTTACAAAAAGTATTTTTTGCCCAAACAATTGGATGTTTATATGGTGGTCTTTATATATACATGCACACACACAATTTGCATTGCTTTTTTACATTGCCTTTTTCATCAAATAATAAGTCTGGAAGATAACTCCTTAGCAGTGCATGTTAATGACCACATAATATTTTATCAATTGTATAACTTTTTATAACTGGTCCTATTGATGAGCTTTTTTATTGTTCCCAGCACTTTGTTATCACAATGCTGCATCACCATCCTTGTGCACACGTCTTTGTGAGTATGTATTATTTTTCCTGTAGTGTAAAGTTCTAGAGTGGGAATTTCTAGGTCAAAAATTGTATGTGCATTTTTTATTTTGATAGATATTGTTAAAGATATTTCACCATTTTGCACACCCACTAACAGTGTATGAGAATGCCTTTTTCTCTACATTCCTACCAACAGCATGCATTAACTAATTTTTTATCTTCGCTGTTCTGATAGATAGAAAATAATGTTACACTATTGTTTTATTGTTTTACCCGACATGGATTGAGCACTTTTTCATATGCTTCTAAGCATATATTTTCATTTAATCTTCCTAATATCCCTAAGAGACAGACAGATAAGACTCGTTTTATAGTTATGGAGCCTGAAGCTTAGACAGATTATTAAGTTACAAAATTAATAATTGGTAGATTAAGGCTTTACACCCAGGTCTGAACTATTTTATAGATTATGATACTGGAATACAGAGAAATTTTAAGTAACTTTTCCGTGAATAGATAGCCAGCAAGTGGTAGAATCAGGTTTTGAAGTTGGGCCTTTGTGATTACAAGACCCACATACTTAACCATTATCTTCATCTAGCCATCTCATAGTTGGCATGAAATATAGTGGAAAGTGACCTTTTTCTTTATTAGCTATAGGAAACAAACTTGCTCATTTTGTTAGCATATTAAGTGTTTGGAAAATCTATGCAAGGGTGGAATGTGTAACTCAGCTCCATTCATTCATTCATATACCATATAATATGCATGGGCATCAGTGGTGAGCCAAGTGGACTTGATCTCTGTCCTAACAACCTAGTGAGGGGTGGCTGTTAATAATGACTGTGATGAAGACAAGCTTCAAGTTCTGAGCGTACGGAACAAAGGAGCTTGGTCCAGTCCAAGAGGTCAGGGAAGCTTCTCATATGTATTGACATTTGGGCTAGAAACTGAGACCTGGTAGGATTCAACCAAACAAGGAAAATGAAGGAAGGTGCATTTCGGGCAGAAAGAGAAGCGTGTGTAAAGTCCCTGGAACAATTAATTGGCCAGAGCCAGAGCTCTCACAGTCTTGGACCACATTACAGATTTTTGTTTTTAACCTAAAAACAATGGGAAATTGTTGACAAGTTTTAAGTAGCAAGTGACATCAGATTAGTGTTTTTAAAAAGGTCATTCCCCTGGTACCAATACTTCTATCCATGGAGACATGGAAAGAGAATAGTCTCATAAATAGATTCCTGCTGCTAATGATGCTGTCACACCACTTCTTGGCAATTTCTAGGAGTGGGAGCTCTAAAGAAAAAAATTGGCTTTTTTAAAGTCACAGTGTCCACCTACTCTGAGAAGTCTTTGGCACAAAGGCAGCCCTTGGAAGAGCCAATGAAAAAATAATAGCAACCTATTACTTAGACAAGAAGCAGCTTTTCTCTTACCATCCACAGGAAGATATGTTTCTTCCATTTGCAGGAATAATTTGGGGTGTTTCTTCCCTAGCCCCCATGATGTTTCAAAGAGCAAATACATTCATTATGTTATGAACAAGCCACAGACTGCCACTTTTTCAGGTATTTGCAGGCACTGTTGTGTCTAAATATAACTGTGGAGTCATTTTTCTAAAACCCACACATAAAACCCCTATTTCTACCCTCCATTTCATTGGAACCATTAGACCATCCTGGTAGGTAATAAGTTTGCATGTTCTGGGACTGCATTTCATTGCACTTCAGTTCCCCTAGAGAATGAACATGCTCCATTTCCCAGCAGTTGTAGTTGAGAAATACTTCTGACATCTCGAATTTCAGAGAGTCTCTAGAAGATATTCCTCTTCTGCACATCAAAGTCATTTTTCCCCTGGACATTCATTTGTTAAGTAAGAGAAGTCAGCACCCTCTCATGTCAGACAAAATACTTATTAATTTAAGTTTCCTAGGCAAAATGAATCTAGATCAAAATAATTTCATCTTGTTGGAATTCACAAATTCCGAAACAAAGAGAGAATACTAAAAATCCCTTTTGCTTTCTAGATCCCTTCCATTTTCATGGAAGTACCAGCAGTGGAGAAGATTGGTTTATCGTATTTTATTTGTTCAGAGCTGACAGAGTTTGGTGTTATTTAATTTAATTTTTAGCTTCAGAGAGTGTTCTGTGAAGATTTCTCCAGTGGGTTTTTGGTGTTTGTTTTCTTCTTTTTAATCTTGCCTGTAATTTATTCAGGGTACTTTCTAGTACAGATAAGATGAGACAGATAAGTTCCTTGACTTCATGGAGTTCTTAGAATTAATAAAGTTTATATAATCTAGAGGCACATAATAAACAAGTGAATAAATAGGGAGATTTTAGATAAATGATACAAATGAATAACACAAGCCATGAGATAAAAGGTTCAGGGATGTGGGAGAGCTACTTTACCTGGGGTGCTCTGAGAACTTTTCTTGGAAGGAGTGACTGTTTCATCTGAGACCAGAATATGAGAGAGAGCCAGCCATCGGCTGCACTAAGGAGCATTTGTTCCAGGCAGTGAAGACAGTA